TCACCCACACAGACACAGACACACACACACACACACACACACACACATTCTTTTCCTCTGTGTATCTGTCTTTTTTCATTCAGAAATACACTCCCTCTCCCTCCTTCCCGACAAGACAGAGATCTAGAAAATTTAGATAGATCAAGTCACGAGTTCACGAGTCTCAATCCCAATCATAGATGATCCCAATCCATCTTTGCTCGACAAAGCACGCTGGTGAAATGAATGGGAAACGAAACGCCGAACGAAAGACCTTGATTTTTGGGAACACCCAACGGCCTTGACTTTGAAAATACGTGCCCCTAACAATCCAGTGTTATGCGGGTGTATGCGTGCCTAACAACTTCCTTTTAAAATACTTCTAGCATGAAGATCTCTTTGAAACTTTCAGTATTTCTCAAAAAATCATTTTGACAGACTACTATGCAAAGCGTACGTATCAGATTAACAAGTAAATTTCCTCGTTGGAAAGTGGTAGCACAGAGTTTCCCACATCGTATGGATACGATAGTAAAACAAGATGTATGGACAGGGCTAAAAACCCAGTCCACAAATACATTTTTAAAATTTAAAGTAATACATATTACAAAACAAGCAGAGGTAAAAATAGTGCAAATAGCTAGATCTATATCAATAGAATTTGTAAGCTATGAGATTTACTAGAAATGTCAACGCAACAGCAATATGGCTGTTATTTTTAAATCTTTGTAACCTCTTCCTTTCAGTTTCCCAAAATTTGACTTTCTGACTTTCTGGACTCTGACTGACTTGAAACCCTTTATTGAAAAGACAACTAAAAGAATGCTTAAAATATATTAAGCCCAGTAACAATATCTAAATCATAAAAGTTTAAAAAAGACTGTGTTCTGCAACAGGACTGCCTTGCTGCTTTTTACTATTTTACTGTGTTGAAAAGAATCAACAAAAGTCTTACCTCACAATAAACCCTCCCTTCCCCAACACACATTTCCACATCGTCCTCCTCCTCCCTCTATCACATACAACATCCCTCTAATCACAATTACATTCGTACTCACCGAAGATGTCAGAAGAGTGGATGGATCAATGACATCCATAAAATGTCGGAATCTGCCATAAAAGGAGCTCTACAACACAAAAAGAAAAAGAAAAAAAAATTCAAATTTGTTTTACTTAGAGTAATATTCAAACAATTTACTAGCATAATTTTTAAAACTTCATTCTCATTTTATTTCTGTTCCATTTTGATCAAACAAATCTTGCGGCTAAGTGAAGTGTTCCATTTTCAGGTGAGATCCCGGCTAAATTTTGCTCCAGAGGAGAGAGAGAGAGCAGACAAAGAGAGAAAGCATGTTTACAAGTGTGTGTGTGTGTGTGAGTGTATTGTATGTGTGTGTGTGCATGTGTGAGTGTATGTTGGTGTGTGTGTGTGTGACTATGAGCAGGCATTGGGACAGCGATAAGAGGAAGCAAGTGAGTGAGAAAGAGAGAGATCAGATATGATGAATCGGAGAAAGCTTCATGTAATCTTTACAGTAAAGGGCATTGAGCACTTTTGAGTTGAAATTGTCTCTAACATAATTATAAATTAAGCAATCAATAATTATTACAATATTGTTAGTATCCACTCTTGCCTTGTATAGGGTTGGCCTGAAGCTGCATGATTCCCACAGCTACTCTGTCCTTTAACCTTAGTAAGTGTTTTAAAGCACTTTCAAGACATTCAAAATTCCTATAAATTTGAGTGTATAAATCGAGCACTTGATTGCAGATTAAAATCTTGACCCATTTGAAAACACATAGGCCTACTATACAGATGCCATCAAACCTGCTCTAACAACCGCCAGTCCAAGAGAATCACCTGTCCAAATGAACACTTTCCATCCTGCATTTTACTTTTTAAAATTTGACACTGTCCAATATATATGCCTACCTGTCTAAGATAAGCTCCTTTTTACCTCGACAAGGGGTGGCCGTGGCAATTAGTTCAACTGTACTGTAT